TGCATTTGTATATAAATCTGTCAATACATTTCGAAATGCCAAAACAACGAAGAATAAAGGTGGGCACGTTTAACTTATAATAAATTGTATAATTTTTTATTCACATTGTTTTTCATTGAATCGTTACTGCAACAAAACGTAAAACATAAAATGACAGGTAATTTAAAACCCATAATTGTCAAAATAACGCAGATAAAATTTTCTTCGGGTATATTGGCACATAAATGTATTTCCAAGTAGAAGAACGTCTACGCATCTATCCTACGCATTGCTGAAGAAGCTTATAATATTTCTTCGCAAATATATGTACGCATACGTGTCTGATATAGAACATGAAAAACACATGGTGACTGCAACGTGTGTGGCTACGTTGTGGTTTTATGTGGTATTACATAAAAGGCAACCTGAACGTCATCTAGTGAATCTTAGTCGCCGCTCCGAAGTGCTCGATATTATTTATTGCCATGATAATGGTTATCCTACGCGTATGCATCCAGCCACATGCAACTCGTTCACGTTGTAACAAATAACCGGATCCTGGTTTTGATAATCTTCCTTGTGTAATATTTCATGGCAGCAAGATTACATTTTGTATCAACGTAAACAACCTTCACTTGAATTTTGTTATTTTCAAATATACCGCGTCATACAATGCTATTGTCGTGTTGGAATTAATCATTATTAACAATCTACAGCAATATGTTCAACATTGCCTAATACTTTTATAAATTAACAATTGTTTATAATATGTAAGATATTACTAAACTTTTTTGTTTGTATACCAAACATTTGAATCTAACACTGTAATAAAATGAAAATGAAGAACAAAGTCAGATGAAACAATCATCAATCTATGAAAACCTTTATTAAAGTATTTAATTTCTATTTCAATAAGATTATCTATGAGAATGTGATTCTACGTGAACATTTTCAGTCTGTTTATATTAGAATATTTATTACACCTATATTTAATACTAGAACTACCGAACGTTTAGTGTAATTAACATGCAACCCTTGTAAAAATTCTAACAATAGATTTTCTGCGGTTTCTTCATGTATTTATTATAGTTATTATTAAAATCGTTTCGGATATTCAATATTTTCGACATATCAATAATCGCGAAATAAAAAACTGAGCCATTCTGACGATGAGTACGATATTCTAGTGTTACCATTGAAACTATCAGATGAAACAAAATGGTTCATTTACAATTTCCTCCTTTGCAATAACTAGAACAATAAAAATATATTCCAATAAAATGAGTGCATTAATAAATTCACAATTATAATCTCTGTAAAATTAGTCTTTTACATTTAAAGCTCGGTATTTCGAGTATTAAAAAACATTTAGTTCCAAGAGTCGATCCTCAACCCTTAATTATCGGAATTCATCGGTGTTCACTTGAATTCATCACCGACCCATTACACCGCACTGGGTCGATTAAAATTCGCTGGCCGATTGAGCCGCGCGTGATTAAATGTTTCCGATTACGTCGACAGCTATCTTAATGTTCTCATAAATTGCGAAATGTCACAAAGGGGCGATTGCGTGGCCGCGAGTCTCTTACATTCGAGCGCAATGTACGCGCGTCGTGCACGCTCAGATATCTGTATCGAGAAACATAAAGAAGCATCTTCGGCGCAACGGCGACCGCGATTTCTAAAGCGCGCTTGTGCGCGATTCCTGTTATCCGTTATGCCTTCCGAAGTAATTGATTCAACGGCCGCGAAAAGACTGTGAAACCGGAAACGCGAAATCGTTCATTTCTTTCGCTCTCGGACGTAATTCGGTTTGAACTGGTTTCGTATTTACTGCGTTTGCGGTGAGATTGGAACAATGGAACTACAGTCGTACCTTGATAACTTGAAAAATTTCTTCCTTTTCTTCCGCTTTTATGTAAAAATGCCTTCCTTTTCTTCAGCTTCCTTGCAAAAATGTCTACACCTCAAAATACAAAACTCTGTAACTAGAATTAATTACTTTGTGCTTAACTCTGACTGTAACACATCTGAGTACGTTCGAATCCCAAAGTGATAATTATTATTCTTTTTATTAATTCAATATAATGATACATTGAAAACTGTTCTTCTTCCCTTGTTATTATATGCAGCTGTCATAAATATCGCTTCAGATTTAAATTAAAACTGTAAAAAAACATTCATTAAAAGTGTCTGACAAGTCTTAAATAAATCGAGTTATTTATTTATGAAGAAAATTTTATTAAACCAGTTACTTATATTTAATTAATTAATTTTTGCCTTATTATCATTATTTTCAGAATTACTGATCTGTTCACGATGCCTTTCTTCTTGTTCTATTAATTTTGTTTTTATTGATTTTACGCTTGGTAAGTCATCTCGCGATTCAATTGCCACACAAAATTCTTCGTATTCCACTGGTAATGAATTTAGCAGCATTATCGATTGCAAATCTGCAGGAATCTTCATACCAGATTCTTCGAGATGCTCAAGTTTTTGTTGAAAGATATAACATACTCGGCCATGGATTGATTCGCCTCCGTCTTCATATGATATAATTGTTTATACAATGTTGATTTTCACATGGGTCCTTTTGACTTATACAATTTTTCCAAATGATTCCATGTCGCTTGAGATGTTTCAGTTTTCTTAATGTGATTTAACTGAGTCTTCGATACACACAAGAAAATCAAAGCGAGCGATTTCCCATCTTTGGTTTCCCAATCAGTTCCAGTTCCAATTTCTTCAGTCCTCTGAATTTGACCACTTGTATATCCCCATAATTCGTTACAAATTAATATACTTCTCATTTGTACTTTCCATGTTTCATAATTTGTCTCGTTTAATTTTTCAATATTGCCCACATTACCGATCGAAGCCATTTTTTTTAAATTCTCGGACTTTTACATTAACTAATTATTAGTACAATAGAAGAGAAACTAGTAAACTGAATAGACCTGGGCCCATAACCTGTCAGATTATTCGATTGAGAATATATTTAACATATTTAGTTGAGAAATATATTTAACATGTTTTGCTTGAATGAAGATCGTATCGCCATAACAAAAACAAAAGACACACACACAACCAACATCATACAGTACATCAAACCTCGCATTGATTATAACATTCGTACATCGAATTCTAACAAATCAGTTATTTATATTTAATTAATTAATTTTTATTAGTTAAATTCAAAAAATTAAATAAATCCTTATAAACTATAGCAAATAGGGGGGCACAATAAAAATGAATCAAAATAGAAAAAGTATTGTATATAAGCAAAAAAAGCTTTTTGTATAAAGCAACAGAGTTAGTTCACCAGACTCAATAATATCTATATTTATTTCTAAAATAATGAACAATACAGCATATTTATTGATATCTTTCTAACATGGCACATTGTTCTGAAACAATAATTAAGTCTGATAGTATCGTTCTTATTCAATATTATTTTCCGATACATTAGAGAAAAGGTGGAACAGTTAAGTCTTTAAGCGCATATGTATCAGTTACGTGTACGTTTCTGAAATGATGAATGAGCCTGTATTAAGAAGTCGTATTGTTTCCTAGCATCAAGAATGTGAATGCGAGCGCCAAACATGCGGCGAAAGATGCGAAAAATGCTGTCCCATGTACAATCAGATTCCGTGGAAACCTGGCACAGCTGCGAAGGGCTTTCACTGCGAGAAATGCAACTGCAATGGTCATGCAACCTCGTGCAGATATGATCAGGAAGTGGCCGACAGAAGACTGTCTATGGACACTCTTGGGAAATTTCGTGGCGGTGGCGTCTGCATTAATTGCACTGTAAGCCTGAAACGCTACAAAGAAAACTCAAACAGTCTTTCAGCAAAATGAAATCGTATACTATTTATTATTATGAAAATACTTATTGAAAATATTTTATTTGATTGAATAGAATATAAAATAAATAATATTTTAATTCTTATAGATTATTTTACATGATTTATGTTAATATAATACGATTCAATATTTTCTGTAAAGTAAGAAAATTGTTATATGTAATAAAGAAAAATTGTTTCTTATGATTTTCAAATAAATTAGATAAATATTAATTGTAGAAGCAGGTTTTATTATTGTTATTTAAATAAATGATTTATTTCAGGAACATACAACTGGCATTAATTGTGAAAAATGTCAAGATGGATATTACAGGCCGAATGGTGTTGCCCCTGATACACCTGAACCATGCTCACCGTGCAACTGCAATGTGTATGGTAGCACGGGGCACTGCACTCCCGATGACTCTTATACGCACATAGGAAAGGTAAACGCACAAATATTTCTAATAGTTTCTGTTACTTATTAAATAAACGTAGTTTCTAAAAAGCGAAATCATTAAGCAGTTATAATACCTTACTTTGAATATACTGTTATTAATTCACTTAAAATTAATAACTAGAAAGTATTATAATTAATTATAATAATTATAATAACAATTAGAATAATTAGACTATAAATGTTAAATACTAATATGTAAGTGTACAGAATACATGATATAGTAAAATTTATTAAAGTTTGAACATTTCTATTTCAGTAATTTCATTTTTAAATTAGAATATTAATATGCATATTTATGGAAAATATATTTAGTCCATTTATGAATGATAGGGGTATTTAAACTATTTCTTTTATAAACAATTTTTTTATTATTCCGAAATAATTGTTTTATTTATAATATTCCCTTCAAGCTAGGGACTAATTCATATTCTAAATACTACCAATACAAGCACAATTCAATACAATACTATAAACAATATTGTAACCATAATTTATACAATTTTGTACTTCAATACTTTAATTTAATATATAAACATTCACGGTTACCCTTGTAAACAGTAAAATATTAATTAAAAATTAAGTTATATTAGATCACTTAATAAAAAAAGACAATTATTTCTTCTTTTGTATGGTCTACTATTTAAAAGCCAAAGGTTGTTTACTGATAAGAGTATATATCTCTAAAAATCATTAACACTAATTGTGTTCTAGGTAGCAGGTGCTTGCAATTGCAAATCTGGCTACTCCGGCTACAAGTGTGATCAATGTGCCGCCGGTTACCGACAGTTCCCGGATTGCATGCCTTGTCCCTGTGACCCCCGTGGGATTCTTCCATCTCACGACTGCGAAGGTGATTGTCTTTGCAAGGCGAACGTCGACGGAGACTTCTGCGACAAATGCAAAACAGGACATTTCGCGCTAACAAAGGAAAACATCGATGGCTGCTTTCCCTGCTACTGTTTCGGTGTCAGTGACCGTTGCAGTGCGGCGAAGTTATCGTACTCTATGGTAACTCAAAAGTTTAATACTTGTCAATTATTAATATAATGTTTTTATATTTTTCAATTTGTAATGCAATATTTTAATGTTTTTCTATTAGTAATTTAACATTTTAATATTTTTCGATTAGTAATTTGATACTTTAATATTTCCAAGACTAATTTACTTCCTACTAGGAAAACGAAATTTCATTAAAACGAATGAAAAAGGATTATAACTGTATCGATAAAATTTTAGTATCATTCCTCCGTTATTAACAAAATAATAAAACTCTTAACGAAGGATATACATTTTTGTTTGATATTATTTTCATCGGATATACAGCCTTACACCTATGTAGATTCCCACAATTCTTGTTTCATTAACTTATAGATAGTTATCGATAACCATCCATTTTCAGATATCATCTCTGGAAAATTGGCTAATTACCAACATGAACGCGTCACAGGCTGTTATTCCTGTCGTGGACACGGACAGCGGTTGGCTCATGGTGGCAGCTTTCGAGGTCGAATACGATAGTCCATTTTGGTTGGCTCCACCAATTTATTACGGCAATCGTCTCTCATCTTACGGCAGTAATATCACTTACTCTGTCACCTGGGTCGTTATGCGTGGCGATACCAGCGGAAAACCGACCACGGGACCAAACGTTATTTTAGTTGTAAGTATTCATTCAACGATACGTGAATGATGGCACTATTAACCTAATACAGAGTACTACAACGTAAGTTGAATGAAATAAGAATCAATGAGTACAAATTTTGCCAGTTTGTTTTACAATATAAAATAAGATTGAAGTGTAATACAGTAAGAAGTCTATGAATTTTATTTCATTAAAAATATTTTGTTTTATTTAAGTTTCATTAAAAATTTTGTGAGGGAAATGTGAATTATTAAACTTGTATTGGTAAAGATTGATCGCACTTTCACATACAAACGTAAATAGATTAGTTATTTCGTGTATTATATTTTTTTAATAACTGTTTAATATAACAGTGTTTCAGTTTTAGTTTTACAACATATTGGAAGAGCTTAGCAGGGTATGATAGCTCTGATATTTAAGTGGTTCTAGAAAGACTTTGGAACGTTCGAAATGCTTAGTTCTAACAAAATAAATGTTAAGAAATGTTGCACAAGTGTAACATGCTAATGTATTGGAATTTTGCAGTATCCACTGTGAATGTTTGCTTTAACCGTGTAATTGGATTAAGTAAATAGTGGTGTCCAAATCTTATTTATAAAAATCTACGTATAGAACAAAATCGATACTTTTGTAGAAACATAATAACAAATATTTTAAAAGAGTTCATAATGAATTTAAAATTAATTATTAGCACCCGTTTCATATTCCTTTTTCCTGATGCATGTACATTCAGTAATTACATCATTTGATTACTCTCCAAACTTCTGTCATATACTTTCAGTAATTAATTTGTTACAATTTATTCACTATCAGTAGTTCATTATTAATATTTCTTTGTCATTTGTTTGTTTGTATACATCAACTACTTTCATTCACGGGGTAAAATAGATAAGATCACACATTAGTTAATATTCTTGAAGTTCTTCATACACGAAGAGTTATTGGACCACCTTGAACACTTGTTTTTTTTTGTTCATGTTTTAGTTCTGAGTTGGCCCCGAAAGGCAGATTACAATGATTACCGTTTTTGTAAAATTAATCTTCTCGTTTTATTTCTTCCCAGGGTAATAATGGTATGCGAATAGCTTACGGCGAGGAACAATATAATGGCCAGGAAGCGGAGATCAGCGTTCCTCTACTTGAAAACGGCTGGTATCACGTACGCAGCGAGATTCAAGATATTCCTAGCAGATTAAGGAGAACCGAATTTCGCGGGGATCCTGTTACCAGGATACAAATGATGCGGGTTCTCGCTGATTTGAAGTATCTTATGATAAGGGCGCAGTATCATTCTGAACAGATCGAAGGAAGGTATGACTAGTAAATAAAATCATTGTTTAAAGCCTATTTATCATAATGAAAATAATTTTTTATAGCTAATTTATTATAACGAAAATTATTTTTTAAATGAATTTATAAGAATGAAAATAATCTTTTATAACGAATTTATTATGATGAAAATTCTTTGATTTTCGCTTTAAAACTGTTAGAAATGCGCGCAAATGTTTGAAATATTTATTCTTCGTTTCATAATCGATAACATTTTTAATATTGATTTGCGTCTTGTTCTTTGATCTGGTTAAAAATGTTTATCTGTTCAAAATATTGACTACTTTTGACATAATTTGTAAAATAAACGTCATTCAGTTATAACAATGGGATAATTAAATCAAGCTTATTTAGAAACACATTTCCTTTTATTAGGAACTTGTTTCTTTGCCCGCTTATCGATTTTCTGTTTTGTCTTCGTATTTAATGAGGTATCTGAAAAGTAGTATTTGGATATTAAGTATTGTGACGTACATTCATTTGGTAACTTAAAAATTGTTAAATATATTAACTTTAACTCTGGGGAATTTTCATGTAGCGTAATTATTAGAGTAATTTTTGTGTAAAATAAAAATTTCTTGAAGTAATTTAGGAAAACATGAGTAAATTGGAGATATAAAAATTGTTGTAGGTAACGGATAAGTTTATAACTTTATCAAGTATGTAAAATTATTATAATTAACAAGTCATAATACATTACTATAACTTAATACAATTTATTAGATTAACTTAAATGATCACGTATCATTCTGTTTTAGTTTGGAATCTGCGATCTTGTGGGTCGGAGAAGTTTCGAACGACAGTGATGATAGTTTAGTTGAAATGTGCGAATGTCCTGAAGGATACACAGGACTCTCTTGTGAAGACTGTGCGTGGGGTTACGTGAAAATGGTAAAGAATGGATTGGATCATCAAGAACATCACGTTTGCGTGAAATGTGATTGCAATGGACACGCGAGTACGTGCGATCTTGTACTGGGAGAATGCACTGTAAGTATTTACGTCAATTCTTTAAACTTTTGATTAATGTTAAGTTAGACTAATTCAAAGGAGTTATTATGTTTAGTTGGTTAAATTTTTATTATAAAAATGTCAGTAACGAAATTTCGAATTTTTATTATAATTTATGGAATAGGTAAATTGTAATTAATATTTGAATAAATTACAAGTATTTATTGTAAGGTTTTTATACAGAATTAAAGTCTGTGGTTTCTGTTATATCGATTCTGCGTAATGTAGATGCAAACCTAAACAAGTTAGCATAGATTTCTTCCTTACCTTGAAAATCTTAACCATCTGAAGGTATCGTAGATATTTCAGGATAACGTAAAAGGAGTTATTCTATTCATAATAAGATTAAACTTATTAAATGTATGAAATCATTGTAAGAAACGTATATTTTATTATAAATTCATAAGTACTACTGACATACCTAATATTGAATAATGAATTTTGTTTATGTATTTAAGCAAAATATACATTTTTGTTAATTTACAATCTATAGTTTCTTGAAAAATTAAAAATTTACTAAAGAAATAATTAATATATAAACATATTTACAATATCACATAGAATTATAGATATATTTTTGTATTCACAATATATTTATTA